AAATTTTCATGTTTTCCTTTTCTTTTTTTCTTCGGGAATGACCATCTCACAGGACATATTATGAATGTTAGAAAACCAGAATCAAATCGCTTGTGCCTAGAGCTTTGTTTCTCACCGAACCGAATTACCATGTTATTTCTTGTTTGTTTATCTTTTAGACCACAAGATAGAAAATACAATTTCTAGGTTCTATCTGAAGGCATCAGTGGATTGTTGCTACTCGACTTGGAAGATGAGTACGTGGATTCCTCACACAATGATCCTAAAGCTACCTAGAACATACGGTCGTTAAATCCAGGAGGAATTACTGAGTGCCTTTTTAGTTGGTTTTCTCTCAGTTACACTTCTGAGTTCAAATGAATCAAAAGGCGGTGACGACCAGCTGCTTATTTGTAATAGCGTAAAAGACACCCAAACATGTGCAATAGAAATGCCGTCAGAATATATCCAAGTGCAGGAAAATAGTTGTACTTGAATGGTACATCTCTAGAAAGTAACATATAGTTGATAAGACTCAATTATCGCAATAGGAAAAATATTTGTATTAGTCATAAGACAATGCCCTACACAAAGGAAAAACACAGGTTAGTTCAACTTGCTCTGGAGACGAGCAGTCAATTATAATGGCTATACAACGAATGTAGTTAATTAATATTTGCTTCCCCAACACAAACACGCGTGTTTCGATATCAACAACACAGAACGAGTAACTTGGTAAAGAAGATTAAGGAACAGTATTCTCATACGGTAACCGCCTAAAGGGAATGTTCAATAAAGCAAAAACGACCCAAATGATTCAATGCTCAACAACACTTAATTCACTACGGTTCAGAATTGACAGTAACATTTGCAAGCAAACCTAAAAGAGAAACAAATATACAAAATAACGATAACAGTAGGAGCAAGAACACATGTAACGGCGCAAAAAGGGAATATTCATAAGGAAAAACGCACGTGGAGAGATTTGCTTACGAGAAATATCATAATGGATTGCACAACAGTACTTGAACTCGTCGCCCATGCGACACCATGTCGTATCAATTTTCACTTCCAAATATTAGGTCGTCAAGATTCCAAAACTTGTGTCACTGTATAATGTCACTAAATGCTCTCATTCTTTAGAATAAGTCAGTTTTATGTATTTACTTAACTGTTGGTCCAGCATTTTAAATGCTTCTGAATCTTGGAGGAAAGCTGCTGCGAACGTTTAAAACTAGCATACGACGTAACTCCAAACTAGGCGTAAATTTGTCAAAAGCTAAACACTTTACTGAAATTTTTTAGTCCAGTTAGGATATCCATGATATCAAATACTTTAGAGATTATTAAAAAGTATTTGGGGTACCTTCTATACCGCTAAAACGCAGGCTTGTAAACTGATACCGACTGGTGAGTGTATCATGAAATATATAATTCACCATGATAGGTTGGGGTTTGTTATACCTCAAAGGCTGATTTCTTGATATACCGCGTATAACAGAGCACTAGAACACCAAAACCCTTCCAAGTCGCAGTAAGAACACAGAAGACTAATGAAAGGAATACTATTCCAAACAGTGTCAATTATAGTACAAAATTGTCAGGTATTTATAGTTTTTAGTAAGAACGAAATCATCATTACAGTCCATCAATCCGCGTACGTGGGGTTATTAGCATTGACCAATCAGGAGACTACACGTATAATTCTAGAATATTCTCCTGAAAGGTGATTGGATGGAATGTCTTCGGCTCCTTCTGAGCCACCTACAGCTTTCTCGAGTTCATGTCAGCAAGCAAATATACGAATTGAGCATGAACCAGAACCAAGTGACAAACATAAAATCGGAAGGGATTTCACGGACCAAATACAATGAATAACGCCGAAAATAGCACTATATGTAAAACAATGTTCTTTGTAAATGTCCCCGCTTCTCCGTTAGAGGAAGGATTAATAAATGTCGAATTGAGTGATATGAATTACTAAGATCAAGAACGGCTAACAGGGTGTAGGGTCAGTGAAGTGTCACTGAGCCCTAGCCAAATCATCCGGCAGTTGAATCACTGAATGTCGAACAGATCATCGCTCCCTGCCAAGGTCATGTACAACCAACGCGCATAAGTTGATCGTATGCCATGGACTGGCCCATACGGCAGTGGTCTCACTTTCGCTTGTATCTACTTTAACTAATATACTTCTGCAACGACGTCCCCTGTGTTGTACAGTCTTCAAAGCATCTATGGTACCTTGGTATGTCAATGGGGTAGTCCACGTAAGGTGCTGACCATGAGGTGTGACTTCGATGTTAGCTAGTTTGTCACACCATTCACGTCTAACTCGAGTAGGCCTGCAATTATTTTCGACATAGATCGTCTACGTTGGTGATCTACACTGGTGAGCCCGACGTGATCTACAAGGGATTGGTGAAGAGCCATACACTGCAACAGGCGGCCGGCCGAAAGAATTTTGCTGCTCCTTTTGTTTCACATCCAAATGAACCACCTACATGGTAAGAATACAACAGAAGCATCATTACCTAACTCCACGATAAGTGGTCATTTATTAATGACTTCGACGTCAGTTGGGCTGTCACATTATCCCACTTTAACTCCGGCAGACTAAACATTTGCAGAATCGAGAAACGGAAAGATTTTCAATGCTTCAGCAAGAACTAAAAATCCCTTATTGGGAACGACAGACTGCTTATTGACAGACAATTCCCATTTAAACATCAAAATTAAAACACGAATTTCAGCGAAGGGATCTCTTTTCAACGAATTTATTATCAAGCTGTACAATCGTATATCTATGAAAATTTTGTTTTTGTAAAAGTACTAATTCCGTGAGGAAATGTGAACACAGTTAATATAAAGGTTATAATACTAGATTACGTAATATGAATAATAACAATAACAATAGATTTAGTGATTATAATAAGATGATTAAAATGTTTTTGATATAATAATTAAAGGTCATAGAGGTGTACAAAAATAAACTGATATGATGAGAGTTCATGAATAAAACAATGAGAATATAAGACATAAGTAAAGGGGGAATGCAGTAATAATAATAATAATAACATTAATGGTAGGATAATCAAACTAATTAAGGCCAAGGTAACGATAACGATAAGACGTACTTCTTTTGTACGCATAGTTCTGGTTTAAGCTCCTGGATGGCAAGAGCTTCGTCTATTTTTAAAAGTTGTATACGAAGAAATCTGGGTAGATTTGAACGAATCATATAAACAACCTTAAAATCAATTTGTGGATCTGTTGAATGGTTATAGTCGATTAGGTGTTCAAGAATAGAACTCCTAACTGCTTTCCTTTCACCCTTATAGAACCAGGCTGGGATATGTTCTCGTATCTCAGTTGAAAGCGAGCGCTGGCTACGGCCAATGTACCTTGCTCCACAAGAGAAGGTGAACTGGTAGATGCACATGGAGGCAACCAGACGCGGAAGCTTATCTTTTATGGATACAGAAAATAAGTTTCTACTAGTGAAGGATATTCGCAGTTTTGCCGCGTTAAATGTTCTTCTAATAGTTGTTGTTAGACGGTTTTTGATTACGTCCGATGTTCGGTCACCTTTAAATTCCAGACTTATATAAAGGTTTTTCTTTGGAACGAAACAACTAGAATTCTTCTCGCGACTACTTTTATTCATATTCTTTTCTATGAACCGTTCTGGGTAACCATTTTCCGTCAAAGTCTTCTTCAGGAATGCCAGTTCTTCGTTAATGCACTCCGTACTGCATATGTGATGCATGCGATGGCATAAAGAATGGATAAGGTTTCTCTTCCTACTTAACGGAACTCAGCTATAGAAGTTGGTTAGCTGGCCATTCCATGTTTGTTTTCTAAAGATGGATCTTTTTAAAGAACCATTACTCGTTCTCATCAGACGTACATCGAGAAAAGGAATTGATTGGTCTTGTTCCCTTTCTAACGTGAAGTCTATGGAAGGGTGGCACGAGTTAAAGGTATGTAGAATATCATCTAAATCAATATTATTGTCATAAACAACAAACGTGTCGTCCATGTATCTCACGTATAGGTGGAATCGATTGATCATTGAACGGAGTTGGTCGTTTTCTACTTTTGCCATGAAACAGTCTGCTAAAATTGGACCCAGTGGAGACCCCATTGCGATCCCATCCCTTTGTCTATATATTTCATTATTGAAACTGAACTGGACATTAAAAGTACAGCGTAACAATAATTCTTTCAAGTGTTCAGTTGGCAAACCTAGATCTATATTGTTAGAATCAATATACTCACATATATAACATATTGTTTCGGTTATAGGTACGCTAGTGAACAAAGAATTAACGTCAAGCGAGAACATGTGTTTTTCGGAAGCATTAACGTCCTTAATACGATCAATAAATTGAATAGAATGTTTACATACTTGCCTTCTAACCGGTTCCAGTTTTTCCGCTAACCATTTGGCGATTCTGTGGTATGGAGAACTTGACATGTCCATAATAGGTCGTAACGGTAAACCCGGCTTATGTATTTTCGGTAGTCCATATAAGCGCGGGATGACTGAACCCATGGGACGCATGTGATTATATAAATCTCGGGTTATTATCCCCTTATTCTTAAGATTTTTAACAACATCTGTTAGCTGTTTTTCGATTTGTAATGTTTTATCAATTTCTTTAGGTTTGGAGAATTTATTACCATCCTCTAGAATTAACTTCATTTTATCCAAATATTCCTTGCGGTCAAGTAGTACTACACCAGCTACTTTGTCAGGTCTACTTAGGATTGAATCCTATTTCTTTTCAACAGTATTAGCTGATCCAAGTGGTTCTTAGTTAATAGGTTATTCTTACTACAATGTGCATTAACGACTGCTTATTTTGAGTGCAAGCGTATAAGCGAATACACCACAGTTAAGTACATTTTAATATGAGCCGTTAAAATAATTAAAGTGATGCAATATTGTACTCAGATTATGGAAAGCATTGAGGTTTTATGCTATGATACTTAGAACTGGCTTTGTTTGTTTTGATGTTTATGATGTTAAGTATTTGTAACTGTACGCTACCCATTGGTTTGTGTCGATTCGCGCTCATTCCTTAGTTGGCTATTGTCGATCCCATTTATTATTAAATGTGAGTATATTTCTAGAACATAGCGTATTTCTAGGCTAGACATAGCGAGAATATAATTTATGGACAAACTAATTAGATTCACGATAAGTGGTCTTGGATTTCGGCGCGAAATTCTTTGAGCGTTTAGCTAAATATCGTCTTGGCATTTTAACTCATGTCATTTCGTAATGAAAACCGTCAATCTAGTCTTTGTCCTTAACCATCAACTTTAAATCACAATCCTTATCTTTCACACTGGTGTAAATGCCTAATTTAGACCTAGTCGTTAGGTGGACATTCCCAAGGCCACTTTTGCGTCGCTCAAAGGTCGTTTATAAATTAGTTTCACCGTTTTTCTCACTTTTTTCTTTGAATTTTCGACAAATTGTCGTTGCCGAATTTACGAAGGGTTGTCTGCTCTTTATACATATACATATACATTTACTACCCACTACCTACTTTAAGTTTGCGTTAATGCAGATCGTCTGCTCATCCCAACTTTCTCCAAGTCCATAAAATGTTATCTTTTTTCTGTTTATATTTCTCCCGTGCTCCCCTCTGTATCTGTCAGTAGACAATCTTTTCTACTCAGTGGACTTAGTTTATAAATATTATACGTGATCAATGACACTTATATACTGGAAATCAAATTATAGCTTACAAGCATGCAAGGTACCACCTTATCTCCATATTTTGGGGATTTCCACAAACTCGTGAAAAGTTTGGTAGTTTTCCCTCAATGTTTCGGGAAATTTCCGGGAGTGTTATAAGATTCTGGGGAAATATTTGGGAAAACGCAAACATTTTGGGGTTTTCTTGCCATTTCCCCAGAGTTTTTTATTGCAGCTTTCCCTAAATTTACCCAAAAAACGGATAAATTTTCCCCCAAAATAGAGAGATTGAGTAGGTGCCTGCCACACCTAGTTGTAAGTACCGAGACCAGTAATTTGTCCTAATTTTAAATATGTCATACATACTTACTACATGTCTAATTGTCCCAATTTATCACATGTAAGTGAAATAGACATATACATAATTGATTGTTTATTAGAAAATTATGATTGCAATATAATTAATTTCAAAGTCAGTATCACCCAATTGGTACGTTATTCGGACGCATAGTAACCGTCCTCTGAGTTCTGAATTTTGGTAACAATCACGGTTGTAGAGTTCCAAGCCTTATATTAATGTCACACTTCAATATATCTTTATTTTTAACAACTGATAAAGTCAAACCGTACAGTGATGTTTTTTAACACAACGCTACACCTAGAGGGTAGCAGTAGGTTGTCATTTCAAATTATAACTTACACTACCTTTCCTTCTTCAATGGCGCTTTTGAAGTTTATCTCTCATTTCGCGCCATAACGGCTTTACGATCAAGAATAAAAAAGCCAGCTTTGTTTCGTATACCGCCGTAAAGCCTGCAGTTCTGAAGGGCTGTTCTAGCCTTAGTGGCAAGTAATATAAAGTCGCTAACTACCTCGGGTTTCATAACAAGATTTAGCGCATGGAAGTCATGCGGTTATTATCTGGCAATCACAATACCATCGCCTTCCCAATCTCTCAACTTTGGGAAAGTTTAGGGGTATTTTGGGGAAACCCACAAAGTCAAATGACCTTCACCAAGGTTAAAGGGGGAATATTGGGGAAATTATTCAGGTCTGGGGAAATTTCGGGGTTTTATTGTCGTTTCCCCAAAGTTTGATATAGCGGCTTCGCCGAAATTGGAAGCTCAGGCCTTTGTAATGTTAGATAATGATAAAAATATTAATGAACCTACAAATTTGTTTCTCGTGCTTTTCTGAAGACATGGATTCATGGTCCTCACTTCTGGTTGAGGAAGGAAAATATTAACGTAATGATCCAATACTGAATCTCTATGGATTATTACGTGCATCAGACTTAGACCGTTACACTCAGGCCTAATATTGCTGGTGCCATGTTATGCAAAGCACTGTGTAGTTTCACAATTTCAGAACTGATTTAAATTGCAAATATTACTAAGCCGCGATCCTGCTGTCAACAGTTGCTGGCGCGTAAGTTGGAGGCTACTTTCGTTGAACTTAAACATTGACAGATATGACGTTCCAACTTGGCATTCAGTGGTATTTGTGTGTCCGACGACCTGACACTCGGTTACTGGACGCAACTGTTTCCAGCTTGCATTTCAGCAATATCACTATCAACGAAATTATGCAGGTGCTCTTGTTTCCGTTTCTGTCTCTGCAAAACGTTCACAGGATTATTGTAGCCGGAGAATTTTCTGAACGATATCGTTCTTGGCGGTCTGTACGCCGTCTATAGGAAACACATGTATGTTTTTTACCACAGTAGTGAATAACCTCAGTCTTAGTGATCGACCACTCGTCATATAGTTGAGCACCGTTCTTCATGTCCATATCCATCAAGTTAGCAGGATACATGGATAGTTCGTCACTGACAAGCCACTTGATTGCCATAATAACTACCTACTTTTTGACAGTTGCAGACTAGTCTTAGGCCTATAAATACTTGAAATTCGCTTTCTAGTTCAAATTAGTAATGTGTGGGTAAGCAAGATGAAAATTTATTGATGTAAATATGGAAAAGTCACCTAGGTCAATGAAAAATCTATATTCTAGTGATCCGTTGTCATCTTTATCATTAAGTAGTCGGGGTTTATTGGGGACCTGCTTTTGTATAGAAAGTTATTCTAGTGTATATAAGCGGAGATTTTTCAGCCTCTTCTTCATTGATAAAGATATTTCAGATTGATTTGGGAGTCTATAGACTAAACCTAACCTCCATATATCTAAGGCTTCCATAATGTTAAATTTTGTTTTCCGCCGTTTTTATTAGTATAATGTAACAGTAACAAATGTCAGCATAATTATTTTATTTTCCAGTGTAATCATGGAATCCTTAAAAATGAATAATGGTCGTTCAATTCCAGTCATTGGTCTCGGAACATGGAATGTTCGCAAGGAAAAGTTTTAGTATTATACACTTTGTAGAGTCCACCAGGTGAAGTTGGAGTGGCCGTGAAGAAAGCTCTAGAAGTCGGTTACCGACATGTGGACTGTGCTCATGTCTACAGAAATGAAGCAGAAATAGGTGAAGCACTGGAAGGTGCATTAAAGAGTCTAAACTTAAACAGAGACGATGTTTTTGTTACTTCAAAGGCATTTATTCATTTAATGTTTATTTAAATTATTTCTAGCTGTGGAATACTTTCTTCCGCCCTGAGCATGTCAGGAAAGCCTGTGAAGAAACTTTGAAGAATTTACGTCTTAAATATCTTGATTTGTACTTAATTCACTGGCCTGTTCCATTCCAAGTAAAGTTTGTGCAATTTCTTGACCTTATTTTATAGTATGGTGAATCTCTTTTTCCCACTGATTCGAACGGAAATTTCTGTTTAGATGAAGTACCACATGAAGAAACTTGGAAGGTTTGTTGGTACTAAAAATTCATGTATTTTTATTTTGTTTCACTGGGAAGCGTAACGCTAACTGCATAATCACAGTGTTAGTATTAGTGTATGTTTATTTTTTGCTGTGGGCTGTCGAATCTCTTTTTTGTAGTGCCTGAATTGTATACTGATTCACGTAGTCTCTATATTTTAGTAACTTTGGTGGAGTGCTTTAACGTGGACTCAATTTCTGAAAAGAAGAGTCTCACGATGTTCCCTATTCCTCACTTAAAGAAAGTATCTAGCAGAAATTCCCTAGGCGTTTGCTTCATAATGTTACTTCGAACGTTTATAACTTTTAGTTATTTCTTCATGGACAAACTATTTCTATAAAAATTTGAAAGTGACTTAATCTTCGAGGTTGGGATTAGTTCACGAGAAATAATATCCCATTAGGTTACAGAAGGTAATCGGAGAATAGACTTATCCTTTTTTGTCTTACTCCCGTCCGAGAGCGAATCTGTACTGCTTTCAGTAGTTGATGTAATGTCAAACCACCTGGATGGATCCTCATGTGTTTCAGATTTTACGTTACTTATAATCCACTAATTAAGCGTCAATTATTAACTGATTAACCTATGACTTTCTGAAAGGTTTATGGTAAGTGTAGTTTGGTTTATTGTGTGATTTGTTGTTCGATACTTCATACCGTATGGCTTACTGTAAAATAAATATTTACTCATCGATTGAGTAGCTTAGTTCGTAGATTTTGGACATTTGTGAAAAGTTATTCTTGGGGAGTAATGTAGCATCGAGCGCCGTAAAGTACTCAAGTTTAAAAGTATCTAGAAAATTTTGATTTCACGGCTTTTTTATTTGGTGACATCCTTTGTTAGGTGGTTTATAATAGTGTACTCTCGTTTTAAATATCTTGCGTACATAAATCTATAATTTTCAGCAAGTCTTAGTTACTTTGAACACCACTGATCCACGTTTCGGGGTTTATCAAGGTATATAATCCTTAAGACTATAGTATTAAAATATGTCGTAAAGGGAAAGTCATGTTTATATCCAATTTGAGAGCTTTTGATAGCTTATTATTGAAACTAATAAAGCAATTTAGCAGCGCTTTGACTAAATATTTGTTCCAGTGCTTAGGACATGTTATTCTTATACCGTTCTTTTTGGTATACTGTATTTGTGGTACTTTGCGTACTGAATTGGGTGTTTGTTTATTCATCTTTAGTTCATGTGTAATTCGTATCAATTGCTGCTAATTTGCACTACTTACGTAATATGTTTGTATTAATACTTGCGAACATACTTTGTTGCTCTATGCTTTCCTTGGCTGCCTGCCTGGACATCTGAACTACCTGTCCTTGCCATCCAGATATTTCAATAAGTTATCTGTTTTTAGTATCAGAAGGGGTTTTGTGGAGATTGTAGTAATTTCAGTAGTTGAGATCGTGAGTCGATTGAAGCTAGACCACCGTGGAAAACCTGGAAGCACTGGACTGTCGTTTCACCCTATTGATATATGATCTCAACTATTAAAATTATGTTTTTGTTTGTTTTAACACATCATCATGTCTATAAATTGCACAACATTTTCAGTTACATAAAAGCCCAACCAGAGACATTGTAGTTGCTGGCAATATACAGCGAAAATAATGTACATTATTCAAATGTCGATTCCTGGACTGCTAACTTCTGACTGGCAATCACTCAATATTTAACGTCAGGATCTACCAAGAAGTAGGAAATGGAAACTTGTTGAAATACTTTATGCTGAGAATTCTATATTAGGCCAAAAATATAATATTAGATAAAGCCATTAATAATAATAATGCTTAAACGATATTTCACTAGGTCGTATTTAATAAGTTAGTTTCGTAGGACAAAACACAAGTTAGGCATCATATGAGATGTAAGGATCTTTTCTGAAAGGTTGTGAATTGTAACTTTTCAAGCATAATTTTTACATAACTTGCCTTTATGTCTAAAAAGTGACCTATGGCTGAAGCTCAAACCAGTTTGATGTATTAAAATACATGTATATACTTGTTTCTATTTATTCAAGGAAATGGAAAAACTGGTTGATGATGGTTTAGTCAGATCTATTGGTTTGTCAAATTTCAACAAGCGTCAGATTGAAAATATTCTTAAACATTGCCGTATTAAACCATCCAATTTACAAATTGAAATTCATGCTAATTTTCCTAACACACAATTAGTTGAATATGCTCAGTCGATTGGTTTAACTGTAACTGCTTATGCTCCGCTTGGTTCACCTGCTGCTTCACCGTGAGTTAATTGTCTTTTTTTAACCATGTTTAATGTTAAGTCTAAATGCTTTTTTCCTTATTTCATCTTATAATATTTACGTAGCATGAAATTTATTTACTTATTTCAATTTATGAATATTGGTACAAGGGGGGAACCGAATACATATGCCCCACATAATAACAATGAGGCTGTGAAGAGATAGAGAATGTAAATTACGTATAATAAAAAGAACAACGAACAGAAATTAGTGTATGAGAGTGAAGTAATAATGGTAATAATCAGAAAAACATTTCAGTTGGGAATAATACAACCAAAAAGAATTTTTTAAGTTGAAGAAGTTACGTTGTTTTTTATGAAGAAAGTAGAAGAAAGTCACAACAAGATCGCCACTGGCTTATATTCTGAGCCGTGTCTGACAAAGTCTCTATTCACCATCTCTAGGACCCCAACCAGAGGGTGGTGAAGAACCAGCATAAGCAAGTCCTTTACAGCTTTCCTTCATACACCGACCAGCTCCGCTTTTTCCAACCGGTCTCAGCGTCAGCAAATAGTGCACGACGTGAAATTCTCTGGGACGACATTCGTAGAACATATCCAAGCCACCGAAGTCGGTGTTTCAAGATGGTGACACCAATTGAATTATCGTCGCTGTGCCCGAACACACGATGCCGAACCTCTGCATTACTGACATGGTGTTGCCACTGGATATCAGCAATCAGTCAGTCAGTTACAACGTAGGACCAGGCACATATATGCATCGGTCCAAGTTGCCATATCTCATTAACACAACAAGATGAACACCGGATTTATAAAAGCATTTAATTCAGTAGTTGTAATATATAAAAGAAAGACTGCAATAAGGATATAGTACAGCAAGAAAGAACTAGTTTGCAGAAAGAAAGATATGAAGCGATTTTAATCTTTTAGTTTAAGGGAAGACACAGAGTGTATACACCGACACCATTGTGATCGATTCTGAGCCATTTTACCCAGAGTCTCCAACCATTGGTTACGATAGTCACGCGGACTCCAACCAAGTAGTCTGCATCTCCCAACATGGCTCAGACTAGATGTTAGTGACTTCAAGCACTGATACCACGTTTTGGTTTGGCCGCCCCTAACAATCTCAGCAATCATTCGAACGTAACGCTGATCGAACACAGAGTCGTCTGACATCCTCAACTTGGAGAGATCAGGTCTCACAACCCCAAAGCAAAACTACTCTCACCGACGCGTTGTAGTTTCGACATTTTACAGCCAGACTAATATCATGGTGTCAAAGATGGTCGAGATTGTCATAAACCGCTCTGGTCCCCATTGTACGTGAATTGATCTGATCACTGACTCCAACATCAGTACTTACGCAGCTACCAAGATACACGAACTTCTGTTCACTACCGAGTGAGTTCAGGTTCATGTCAGTCTTGTAAAAGTACCTTGCACTTCGTGCGAAGCATGTACCATATCTACAGACACTAATTGCCAACTGATTAAGTGCGGATTGCATGGCGTGGGTATTACCGCACAGTAAGACAATATCATCCGCATACTCAAGGTCGAAAAGTTTTTCTGCAGCCAACAGATCCACACCACCATTACATATATCCTTCAGAGCTGTTTCCAGAATGTCATCGATGGCGAAGTTGAAGAGAAATGATGCGATTGGGCAACCCTACCTAACTTTACTTCTGGGTTGAGATAGTGGAGCGAGGTGGTTGTATGCCTTCACTCACGTTTCGAAGGCAGCCCTAATATCAAGAAACACTAAAATTGTTGGTTTGTGATAGGTATGACTTCTGACATTTGGTGATCAATACATCCTTGATCAGAACGAAAACCAGCCCTCTTCTCGTGAGCCAATCATTCTCGGATTTTGAACAATCTACGAAGTATGACGGAAGCCAATAGTTTTAACACCATCGAAAGTAGACTTATCCCCGGATCGTTGTTGCAGAAACGACATAAACCCTTTTTAAATATAGGGACAACTATCAACTTATTCCATAACGTTGGTACACTCTCTAACTCCCAGACCTCTGTAAACAACTTCGTCAGTTCCTTAGCCGGAGACGGAGATAAGTCATCTGGGCCAGGTGATTTGTAGCGTTTCAAGAGTTGGAGTTCCTTGCGGATTTTCGCCTCATTTGGTGGATCAGTCATCACCAGCCATGGAGGGCAGGACAGTCTGACCGATGTTGCCGGAGCACCAGGCCAGTTGAACTGCCTTTCGAAGAATTCTGCCCATCGTCCAAGACGTCGATGGATGTTAGTGATTGGCATCCCATCATCCTCGCAGATTGTTTCACTCACACCAGACTTCTTGCTGCCAGTGGCTCGGATGAGTTGGAAGAGCTTCCGGTAGTTACCAGATGCAGCTGCTGCTTCCAGCTCATTAGCACGCATCGACCACCAGGCTTCTCGGTCCTTACACAAGCTTTGCCCAATTTCCTTACGTAACATCCTTCGTTTATGGTCAAACTCACGGTCACCCGGAGTAGAACGACGGGCTTCAATGAGTTGTAAGGAACCTGCAGAAACCCAGTGCTTATAAGCGGGACGTTTCACGAAGCGTCAAGCAACCTTAACATTTTCATGGCGTCATGCAATTGCAGCCAATGCTCATCTATATTTTTCGGTGGGGTGACAGTTAGCCTTAAACCTAACTTGGTTCGATACTTATTTGCAACAGAAGCTGCAACCAATTTACTGACATCGTTCGATTTAAGACGACGAATTTGTAGGCCACTGAAACGTAAGGTAAGATTAGCTCAAAAACAAGGGGATGATCACATAGCATATGTCTCACAGCACATAGCTGACTGTTAATCGAGATCCTATCGGTCAGTGCTGCCCCAGCTCTAGCGCTTAGTGCGATACCAACGCCAGCATTCCAGATAAAGATACCAAAAGGTCCTCGGATAAACGCACTTGAAACAAGCTTTTTGAAGCAACAGATTGAGAGCGAATCTGTAGTACTTCATTAGAGTCCTGTATACGGGTCTCGAATAGACAACATACATCGATGTTAAGACTTTTTAAAAACATAACCGACCCTCTCTGTTGTCCGATCTACATTAGCGTGCAAACATTGAAGGTGGCCAGTTTGAATGGTACTCGTGTTTTCAGAAAGACCGTTTCAGTATTCGTAGTCGGTTTTAACATTCAACTTTCGACCAGTCAGTGACTTGAGATCGTTTAGATAGGAAAGGGTTTCCACCATAGGCGATGTGCTATATAAGTTGAAAAATAAGATACGCAAAGTGCGAATAAAGGGGGATATATAGGTGGCGTGGTATCAAAAAAAATAAAAACGAATGTTGCCAAATGACTATTAATAAGATTTTTCTGAGAGAGCATTGAAGCATGTCATTTTTCCAGTAGTAATCATCATTGATTTGTGTGACGGTTGGATCACTGCCCAGGTGGTCAAACCGAGGCAAATGCTTTTCTTCGAGGGCTACGACCTGAGCCTTTGACCTAAAGGTCTAATCCACAAGACAGTTGAGCAATGTTGGGAGATGCAGTCCCATGGTAGCCGGTGACCAACAATAGGTTCATACGCCATTTGTTCCATCAGGATCCTGGAGTCAATATGGAGCATTGGTTTGAAATCAGGGTTTTCCAACTCCTAGGTGAATCCTCCATACCTACCAACGAAAGCGCCAGACATTCGCATTTCGTCCTCTCAGTTCCATAAACTACACCCTCGCTGCCAGACGTTAGTGAGTAGGACTTTCCTGTCAGTGGCTCTATATGTATGGTCATATGAAAGCACTTCGAGAGGAGAGCGGACTCTCCCCATCCTCTGCCGTATCTGGCCATTTTGGGACACGTATTTTCTTTAGTCTTATGTATTTGCCCACTCTTTCCATCCTTGTTTTGTGATGTATTAAAATATGATTTTCTATTTTCTAGAGGAAGGGTTGATTTACTCATGGAACCTTGGGTGTTACAAATTGCTAAACATCACGGTAAAACACCGGCACAAGTTCTCTTACGTTATTTAATTCAAAGAAACTTGATAGTGGTTCCAAAGTCCGTGACACCAAAACGAATTGAAGAAAACTTTCGGGTATGATAGTCTATGTAGATGTAATTGTTTTATTTTATTATTACTATTATTATGAAATCTCTCCTAAAACTCACATTTATTGAATGTTCTAAACATAAGCCTGTATCTATAAGCGTTTAACTTTTATGATTTGGAATATAAGTTGACTGTTTTTCTGATATTTTTAGAGACAACATACAATAAATTTATCAATTAATGGTTTTGGTCAACTCCACATTCTTTCTATGACCTACTTTTAAAATTTAATGTTTCATGTGAACTGAGTAGCTAACATTTCTAGCATCAATCAAATTACGACTGTGTTGTTTCATTTTCATTCACGAATTAGATGGTTTTTCAGGTTAGGCTACATTCATGATTGTAACAATTGTGAGGATTTTTGTACTGAGCATTGAGATAGTGTTGTTCATTTTCAAACACTAACAATTTGAAATCTAGTAACATAATAGCTACAATTATACCATCGATTCTTCTTGTCGCGATTCAGTTCGTTTTAATGTCCACACTTAACTTCCCAATAGTATTTAAAGTTTTTCTATATTTACTACTGAGTGTTTTGTTGAAATAAATTCAAGTCAGTCAGTCAGCTACAACGTAGGACCAGGCACATATATGCATCGGTCCAAGTTGCCATATCTCATTAACACAACAAGATGAACACCGGATTTATAAAAGCATTTAATTCAGTAGTTGTAATATATAAAAGAAAGACTGCAATAAGGATATAGTACAGCAAGAAAGAACTAGTTTGCAGAAAGAAAGATATGAAGCGATTTTAATCTTTTAGTTTAAGAGAAGACACAGAGTGTATACACCGACACCATTGTGATCGATTCTGAGCCATCTCACCAAGAGTCTCCAACCATTGGTTACGATAGTCACGCGGACTCCAACCAAGTAGTCTGCATCTACCAACATGACTCAGACTAGAAGTTAGTGACTTCAAGCACTGATACCACGTTTTGGTTTGGCCGCCCCTAACTTTCTTACAACCATCTCCAATACCGGTTAGTATTGCACGTCGTGGTAATCGGTGTTCAGGCATACGTAACACGTGGCCCAACCGTCTCAGTCGATGAAGATTCACAACCTCATCAACTGATTTACCATCAATCCCTAATATCATGCGTCTAACCTCACTATTACTTACCCGGTGATCCCACCAGATGTGAGCAATATTTCTAAGACATCTGTGGTCAGTTATTAGTAGTTTACGAGTGTCTTCTACTCTTAATGGCCATGTTTCGCTGCCGTAAATTAAAACAGAACGAACTGCCGTGCAGTATACTCGTCTCTTAATTGATAGACGGATACCTCGCCTTCGTCATAGGTGACGTGAGTTGTCAAAAGCCAAGCGAGGTTTTCGAATCCGTGCTGAGACTTCGTCAGACACCAACCCATTGGGGCTGATCGGACTTCCAAGATAAGTGAAGTTGTCAACGCGTTCGACTACTTCACTCACTATCCTTAATTCAGGTATTGACGCAAACCAGTCCTGAAGCGACAACTTGTATTTAGAGGGAGAGAAGCGCATTCCAAAGATTTTCACGTATTAAATTCTCATTTTAAAACCTATCTCAGAGAACGTGGTTTTTGTATAGAGTCGCTATTCTATTCAATGATAATCCGGTTCATTTATCAGTGTTATAGTTGTATACCTGTTCATTTATGATCTAATGACAATACTCGGCTGATTATGAATACAGTGGCCTTGAGTGCTGTTAAAGGTATGCAGGTGGCTGCCCACACCGTGGAAGAGTTCTTTTGGAGGTACCTAGAATGGAAATTGGATTAGAGGTGGTCTTAGTGACCTGAGAGCGTGACCGCAGTGCCCAAGGAAAAACTACTTGAGGTCTATCACACACGACCTTTTGTGCGTAATTTTCGTGTTCGCTCCATATTTGTTGAGACCTTACCGATGGAGACGGATATCTGTGGTATAAAGCGAGGTGTGTATTTTTAGGGTCAACCTTTCCTAACCACACCCCTCCTTCTGGGAAGGCAGCATCACTGACATACTGGTTGCCCGAAGGAAACACCTTACTGCTACCACACCTGTGTACAGTCAGCAGTACGATGTCGTCCTCGAACTTTGGATTTACTGCTTTTAATCTTACCGTTCTTCAACCGATCTGTCTGGCATGGTAAGATCTTAAGGAACGATTGTTCTAGCCAGTATAGCCTGATTGGTTCACCACGATAGGCAGGCCCGACCACCACGTCAAGGTAGCAACAACGGTCGGGAAATGACAATATTATTTGAATTCTTTAAATAAAAGAGACAGTTTGATTGGAAATGTAACTTAATTGTTCTTAAATAAAGTGACTAAGTTGTTGAAGTTTACTTAAACATCTTATTATGCAGTGTAGTTTGTTCTTTTTACTGTTTAGATAGATAGATAACTTTCTTCATTTTGTTATTCATTGAAGGTATTTGATTTCCAACTTTCGAAAGAGGAAATGCATGAATTAAATACGAAAGGTTTAAATGAACGTCAATTCAAATTGTTGAAGTAAGTTCATGTTGCTGGCATTCAAATATTTGTATGACTTCATATTTTTAAATTTAGATTATTTTTAGTCGTCGTTGTCAGTAAATTTGTTATTTACTGTCTGACATCTAAATATTAATTCTGTGCTCTTTATTCAGAAATTATTTCATATCAATACAACTGATTTAGATGGAGTTTTTTTCTGAGGCGGATGGTTTGGTCGTGGACATTTCGTCGTTCTTTTGAACGACACCATGAACACAACTTCAGGTGGAAGTGAAGTATCCGGATTTCTCAACATGTGATTCACAACTCGTCCTGTAGACCTCGATGTTGATTGGTTTTTCTTGACATTTAACCTGTCGTTGTTCACCTCTTCTTTTGGTTGTATTTCCCATTGGTTTGAATTTCAGTCCTATGTTTGTCCATAATTTTCCTGATTGTTTGATAGATTGGATCGATTTCAGTGTGCTTGTTGATTGCTGATTGACCTGAGTGCCAAGTTTCTAAAAATTCTCTGGTGTTTCGGAATTGCCTATATCCAAAATCTCTACATTTTCCCAGTTGAATATGTGTCCGCAGTTGTCCATGTACACTGATATAAGTGAGGAAGTATCATGACGTTTGACTGCTAATTGATGTTCATGCAAAAGAGAATAAAGAGGGCGTCCGCTTTGTCCGATGTAGTTTTTTCCGCAGTTGGCACAATTTATTTTGTAGATGATGTTTGGTTTGTTTTCTTTTGTCATTTCATCTTTTAATTTGCATAGGATTGATTGTAGCGATTTTGTTGGTTTGTGTGCAACACCTATTCCGAAGGGTTTCAGCAGTCTTGTAGTTTCTGATATGCCTTTTATGTATGGTAGGGTGATCCATTTGTTGATTTCTGTACTTGACTTTGTTTCTGATAATGAAGTTGATTGGGTAGCCGTTCTTTTGAACAACGGTCTTCAGATATTTTTCTTCATTTTCCCGTGCTGCAAGTGTGATGCTGTGTGTCCTCGACCTCTTGAACAAAGTCTGTAGGCAGTTGATTTTGTGAACTCTTTGGCTGTTGCTAATGTAATTGATAATTTGATCTATGTTGGTCGGCTTCCGATATACTTGAGTTTTCAGTTTTCTTTTGTCGGTTCTGGGGATTAATACATCCAAGAATGATAGTTTGTCGTTTGACTTCTGTTCCATTGTGAACTTGATGTCATCGAAGACGTTGTTGACCAGCCTGTAGGTGTTTTCCAGCTCGTCCTTTATGACGATGACGAATTTGTCGTTCACGTAACGAATCCAAATTTTTGTCTTCTAGTCTCTGAATCACTGCTTCTGTGATAAGTCCTGATATTGGTGATCCCATCGGTGCCCCTTTCGTGTGTTCGTAGATTTTGTTGTTGAATTGAAAATATGTTGTTAAGCATAAATCGATGAGTTCTAGTAAACTTTGACTTTCAAGCTTCGTGTACTTTGCGAGATTTGTGTCGTTGGTGATAAGCAGAAATAGAGTTTCCTTTGCTAAGCTTGGTTTAATTAAGGTGAATAAGGCTGTCACATCGAAGGATATCATCAGCTCGTCATTGTTGATTTGAATGTCCTTAATCTGATTGAGTTGTATTGGGGATTTGATGGAGTGGTTGGGTGAATCCACTAAAAGTTTAGATGTTCGTGAAAGTTCTCTTGACAAATTGTATGTTAGGGTTCCAGGGAGTGCTACAATTGGAATATCAGAAACTACATAATCATAATCGCATCCTACCATCACTTTACTTTCTATTATTTGCACTATCATTCCTTTTCCTTAAATAGAGAAGTAAAAACAAAGAAAGATAAGATTATACAACAATTCTTCGTCATCATTCCCTCTACTTTCACTAACTGTGGTTTTTATAAAAAAAGAAGTATTTTAAAAGATTTCTGACCTCTTTCTAAAGGCTAAACACAGACTTGGTAAAGTTTTAATAGTTTGCTTACTTTTGTATCCTGAAATAGTCGTTTATAATTGTGCTAAAATGATTTCATTAAGATACTTTTTGTCATATATTATGAAATAGTTTAAAGTGACTATAATGAATCAGGATTTTCTGGTTAGTTAAGAAAATAAATATTTGGCGTCATCTTTTTTCTAGAATGGCTGGTCATTCGGAATATCCATTCAAAGACGCTTATTGAATATTCAATAGATGGAGCATAATTGAACTGTAAGATTTAATCTCATTATGCTTTTAGAAAATTGTCTCAGGTGTGCTAAGTTTCATCACTAAATAAAATCTGATTCGATTCAATCAGTCTTTTAATCTGATGTATTACACATCACATTTTTTAAAGGTTTTGTTGAGCATTTGATTTATGCCCCGCTACGGCCGAGGATGGTGGAGAGTTCTCTCTTGAAGTGCCCTCACGTGGTCACGTGTGTATGGCCGCTGTCAGAGAAGTCTTACTCACTGCATTCTCGTTGCGAGCGTTTCCCTTATGGAATTGAGAGAATGAAAAGCGAATGTCCGGCGTTTTAACCGCATTGGTTGTAAAGGAGAATCCACCTAGGGGAGTTGGAAAACCCTGATTCCAAACCAATGCTCCATATTGACTCCAGGGTCCTGATGAAACAAATGGCGTATGAACCTATTGTTGGTCACCGACTACCGTGGGACTGCATCTCCCAACATTGCTCAACTGTCTTGTGGATTAGACCTTTAGGTCAAAGGCTCAGGTCGTAGCCCTCGAAGAGAAGCATTTGCCTCGATTTGGCCACCTGGGCAGTGATCCAACCGTGACACATGATTTTTGAGTCGCATACATATTTGGTGCCTCGTACTAATTTTTATGTGTTTAAATAAAAATTAATTTGAGTGTTACGAACTCGAAGTAATGCATAGCTGTTAGTGATTCTTCATTATTACGTTTAGACAAATAATCATTTTTACCCTACTAGTGACAATTATTATTTTGTAACATTAACAATCCGTTCAACGTCATTAAATTTGATTTGTGTATATGCGGTACAACATTTGGAGATCTCATATGTGTAAATTGATGTAGTCAACGATTTAAAGCGTATACTTTGTAGTGAGTGTATCATGGTATTTCTGACCGAAGTAGTTTTGGTCTGGCTACATATGGATTATGAAGAACGTGGAATCTCAAAGACTTGTAGTGTACATCATTTTTAATATCTTTGTACACGTGATGAAATGAAAGGTTTCGACGTCTGGATTTTGCAACTGTGCTTTTGATTTTACCAAATGATTGTTGCTTTGAAATTAATTTAGTTGAATACATCGTCCTAATGGGAAGTCCATGTGCGAGGATAGAATGTATATTGTATGGATAAAGAGAGCATGTCTAGTGGTCGGAAATCGGGGCGTGAGATTAGAAGCGAACAAATCGGAATGACGGTATTAATGTTGTTGACTAACTAGACGTTGAGTATGTGGTTCGAAAAGGAACACGTTGGGCCGGGGGAGTAAAAAGTATTGGTAATACTATATTTGGAATTCGAAGTATGGTAAGGAATTTTTACAACTACAATTTATGCACAGGCATATCATTTAAGGTTTACAGTTACTTGTTAGCATTACTGTATGAATTGGAATCGAAAAGCATACACACTAAAAGACAGGTCACTTCAACACTCAATGCTTGGTGTCATACTTTCATTAGGTGGACCTTACTTTTCCATATTACTCATATGCTAGTCGGCATTGTGTAGGGGTAAGCAGTGTCTAGCAATACATGGTAGGTGAAGATGTCTCATTCATGTCGTTTGTTGATAGTTCGCACACGGGTTTCAATCTGTCGAAGATTGGATGCTTTTGAACTTATCCCACAGGTATTGTGAGGAAAGTAAATTATCATTGTTGCTAAAAGAGCGTTACATCTCATCAGTGGCTTGGGAGCTCATTATTTGAACAGTTATTAGCATCAGACTCTCTACTTAACACTTATACTCCTAATAAATATTCGGAGCTTGCATTTGTGCGATTAACACAAGTCGCGTCATGTGCATCTGCTGTGTTGCTTCAACCCATTTATCGACAACATAGGAAAAAGTCTGTTCACTGAATATAAGGCCGCTAACAAAAACTGGCAACACAGTAGATGCACATGACGCGACTTGTGTTCATTAATTACCTGAAATAGAGAATACGGGTATTAGCTTAGTAGATGCATTTCGAAAGACTTTAATTTCTATTTCCAAAGAACTAGTGTACTTACCATGTAGGGAAGCTCTATGCAGACGCCTATTGCGTATCACTTCATCAACCATATTTATGACCCGGCTTATTGTGTCCTCGGCGGTCGTCAATCCCAACAGTGCGGTGACTGTTGGTTTTACTACGAAAAATACAATACAGTCTGTTTCTCTTCGTATAGTCTGGGGTCGGAATAGCTAGGATATTCTGATCTAAATCTCCCACATAGCTTCAAAACTAAATCAACTGTTTCATTATACGAAGATAAATATAACATACCTGTAAACTCTGGCATTTGTAAATGAGCAAATACCATGTGCTTACATGGAATTCGATACGTGTGGAATACACGGCAGGTGCAAGTGTCATCGTTTATATCCACTATATGGCAGTAACGGCCATCGACCAAGAATACTAATGATGACAGACGGTTTTCAATATACATTAGCCCTCTTCTGTTATAGCCTTTAAGGATTATAAACCCGACATATGTAGTTAGCTTCCCTAGCAGAGGTATTAAGTAATCTGGAGCAACAAATCTACGTTTGTGACTACAGTGCAAGCTCGATTGTAGTGACCTGCGTTTGCTTAATTCCCTTTGCCATGTAGTATGTTTTGCAAATACATTTAATCAATGCATCTCCGCTACATAACTTTCGCTTTAATTGTCTATGTGCTCTTTCAACACGGTTATTTATATTGTTACCCAAGGTAACAACGTCACTGTTGAAAGCTGCGGTCCAATTTCTTTTCCTATTCATCCAGTATTTATTTAAATACATTGCGGTGCGTTTGCTACGAACACTAATTATTCGTCGGATCTGATTAAACTTTACAACTGATTGTTCACGGACAAGTGGGCACAAGTACAGCTTTATAATTGGATTGCGGGTCTTCTTACAAATAACTCTACACACGTGGAATGAGCATAAAGCTATGTGGGCAGTACGGTGGGTCGTTTCCACAGCAGATATGATGGATCTTGCTTAGTCCATCACAAACGTTTCGGTCTTACTGGTGTTATTCATAATTATTTTGAAATGACCCACAGTACATCTACCTTCTTCTCTTCCTTTGTCCAAGCGAACATTATAGGCACTCCACGCCCGCAGTTATCTGTCGAAACAAGCTGAAAGAGTTTATAACTAAAGACAATTGATAAGCGGAACATTTCTAATTACTTCCCTCTGTTAGTGTTGTATGTTGAATCCAGGCAAACAACTTCAGGAAATCGCTTGTACGTTTCAATTTACTCATATGTACTAAATGCTATTCTGGTGACCTGGTTAGCCACACCACCATAAGAAACAAACACTTTCCAACTGTTGCGTAACGTTGAAAGTACGTCGTCATAACTTCCGCAACCTAGATCTATGGGTTAAACTTACGTTCGAAAACTATATTTTAAATTATTGACATATTGCACGGTAATCGTCTTTCCAAAATGATCCTCTACATACTTAACTATTTGATCTGCATTACTACCGGTTTCAACCATCGTTATAACAACGTTCAACTGATCTTCATTTAATCTTCGAAACCCAGGATCATCTTTTAAGTATTTTTCATCACACGGAGGGTTGTGTATCATCTTCGACGACGCTATGACGTACCGGTTGAAATACCGCAAACGAAACATGGCTTTACAACCGGTAAACTTTGATTTATGAGAAGTAAGATTAATAATAGTCATTTACCCTTTTACTCTATCACCATAACCCTCCGGTTTCTTTTTATCGCCAAAACAACAAACATACACTACATGCTGGTAGCGAATTTCCGGCTTTTCTGTGTTCTACTTACTTTCATGTACTACGTAATGAGTTCAACTCATCTATTACTTTTGTATGGTGTATTTTTTATAACAATACCTTGTGCAACAGATCGATAGCTTCTCCCAGCTTGTCAGGTGCCTAGGTCTCATAATGCTTTCGAAAACATCACTAGTAGCCACAACTACTGGACACTCAGTATTGGTTTGATTCGTTGATGGAGTAGGGTGATCCATAATGCTGAAGAAAATAATAAACTAGAGACTTTCTTTCCATTCCGCCCGACAACATAATAAGTGACAGGAACGAATATGCGGCACCAACACTTATTTTAGCTGAAAAAACTAACTTCGGCTTTCGATATCTGAAAAAATACTCAAAACAAAACGGATTAACACTTTACAATATAAGACTAGCCAGCTTGCCTGAAAAAATACATCGACTTGAGTAGCAGCAGCAAAAACCCAGGAAACAATGCTGAATGTAAGAAAATTTGCGACAACATTTAGAATATTACACTAACTGCGGCATTTTAGCACACTGAAACATTAAATTATGTAGTTACACAAAAGAAATAGCTGAAAAAACAGAACGAGGAAAACCGACCTCCATTGCTTACAAAGATGGCGGATATAATAATTCACACCTCATTCTTATTGGTCGCTAAGCAGACGGCCACGTTTACGAAATCGAGTCGCGTTTAATTGCAGCCGTACAATGTTGTTTAGAGTTCATCAGATAGATGTAGTTGTTGAAGCTGTACAAAATCTTTAAAAAGTTGAAAATAGAATTATAATAGATAAAATATGTACAAATTAGAATGCAGAGTAGCATGATACTCATAAACAACCTTTCTATAAAAGGATATAAACTAAAAGATATTTCGCATTCTTATTTTTATGAAATGGTATCACTTGTATATGTTAGCAGAGAACTAGAAAAGCTTTAGGATATTTAATGAGGTTAACATAGAAAAATCTCAATGTAAAATGTGTTGAATAGAAAATAAAATATGCAGAGCAGAAAGTAACTTGATGTCAACAACCATATAAATATAGACAATATATACAAGGATGTGAGAATCTTTCAGTGCTTCTACGTTTTCAATAGTGGTCTAGTTTACATCAGTTCATAATTTGAATGAAATATAAACATATTTTAAATAAACATATCTAGGTTGGTTGAAGCACTCAATACTACAAAGATACTACTAATTAAACGAAACAGTATCATGCACATTAAGGTTGCACGTTTTTCTTTTCTCTACACGTCCGTTAGAATTAGAACGCAATTCTAGCTGACTGGATTTAAGTGATCA